GGCCTCATTCCCTCCCTCTATCCCTCCCTTTCTTCCTCCCGCCCTATCGCCCCTGTCCGTTCAGGACACTTGGTCCCGATGGACCAGCCGCTGGCTGCACTGGACATGATCACTCGTTTTATCGAGAATAGAGCACCCTTCGCTCACTCTGAGGAGGAAAAGGTTGAGAAGGAGAAACATGGTGATGAACGGATTTACATGGATACGATGGAAGCGGAAAACGGCTTGATGGAGAATTTTGATGAAAGATTGAGCCAGGAAATGTAGAGATTTCTGGGTATATTGTAATATCTCGTGCAAATTCACATGCCCACTTGGTTGCGAGCTAAGCACCGTCCTCCTTGACGGCGACAAACGTATGTTGTGGCGGCGTGTGCTTGGTGGCTTGTCGTTCAAAAATCTTGCATGAAAGAAATGTTGGCTTTCAGAATAAATTCCCTAGACGGTACGAGCATTGCTTTCCTTGACAGTGCTGTACATTTTTTCTTTACCTAGAACATTAGTTGCTAGGCTCTACAGGTCGAAGCGCTTTGCACCTCAACACCCTTGGAAACAAGCGTGTCCATAGTTCCTGTCAGCAGGAAAAGGAAGAATTGACCATTCCTCATAGACGTGAACGTCAGGCCACTCTGCACTGGAAGTACGAGTTTCAAAACATGTATGCACCAACAAAAGGGTCTGGCCTTGTTCACTCTCCGGCCCTACCCGGATGTACGCGTTTGAGGTTACACAACGTACTCCATGTCTGTAGCACGAGCCTCGTGTCCGTAGTCATACCCAAATTTTGCCTTCTTACTTGATGGATGTCAATACAATCTATATTATACCGGAATCAGGCATGGCAAATACTCCTGGGGCAGGAGGTGGAAAGGGCGGGGAGGGACCTTGGGCTACACAGGAAGAGGCAAGTCGTCGGAGGAAGATCAAGGGAGTCTGGGAACATGTCGTGATGCATGCGTCATATCGGATTAAAAAGGTGGATTGTGACGGATTACGTCGGAGTCCATCATACTTCTTGTGTTACGGCGTGGTTCTGCCCTGGATCGACAACTCAGGACACTCCCTCCCTCTTGATGTAACACTTGACGTCTCCAGGTGCAGCAACTCCAGACCGGGAAAAGGAGGGCATCGTGGAGACAAATGGGAAATCAGCAGGCCTACCCTATGTATGGAGTCGTAGGCACTAGAGGAGGTGCGTAAGAGGGGAGAAATGGAGGAATAGAGCGAGGCTAGTGAGACCGAAAAGGGGGAATGTATCAACCTCTGCCCCGCTCTCCCCCCTAGGCACTCCCTACGCACACCCGCCCTACCCTCCAGCAGTGCGAGCAGCGCCCATGGGAGGTGAGGGGGACGGGGAGGGAGGGAAGGAGGGGAGTTGATGGCTCTCTCTGTGTGGCATCGGAAGCCTCTCCGTTCTTCTTCTCCTCCCTCCCTTTGCTCTTGGTGTCGTCTTTGCTTCCGCTTTCCTCCTTTTCGTAGCTCACTTTCTTTCTACCCGCTACCCTGCTCCTGACTTGGGACTTTTCTCCGCATTTTGGCAGGGGGAGGCCTCCAACCCGGATTAGCACAACGCGCCACGAGTGTAAGAGGAAGGGAAGGAGGGAAAATGGAGAGGCTTGGCTCTATAGTCAAAAAGGGGAAATGCGGAGGGGGAGGGAGGGGGTTGGGAGGACTCCTGAGGGAGATGAGAAGAGGAGGACGTGGAGACGAGAACGCAAGAAATCACCAGCCCTGCATGGCTTCCTGACAGTCTAACCCGCTCCCCTCTTTCCCTCCCTCCCTCCCTCCC